CAACTTCTTCCTGGTTTAGTCTTGGAAGAGTGTAAGTGTCCAGGAAATTATCCATTTCTTCTAGATTTTCCAGTTTATTTGCGTAGAGGTGTTTATAGTATTCTCTGATGGTAGTTTGTATTTCTGTGGGGTCGGTGGTGATATCCCCTTTATCATTTTTTATTGCGTCTATTTGATTCTTCTCTCTTTTCTTCTTTATTAGTCTTGCTAGTGGTCTGTCAATTTTGTTGATCTTTTCAAAAAACCAACTCCTGGATTCATTGATTTTTTGGAGAGTTTTTTGTGTCTCTATCTCCTTCAGTTCTGCTCTGATCTTAGTTATTTCTTGCCTTCTGCTAGCTTTCGAATGTGTTGGCTCTTGCTTCTCTAGTTCTTTTAATTGCGATGTTAGAGTGTCAATTTTAGATCTTTCCTGCTTTCTCTTGTGGGCATTTAGTGCTATAAATTTCCCTCTACACACTGCTTTAAATGTGTCCCAGAGATTCTGGTATGTTGTATCTTTGTTCTCATTGGTTTCAAAGAACATCTTTATTTCTGCCTTCATTTCGTTATGTACCCAGTAGTCATTCAGGAGCAGGTTGTTCAGTTTCCATGTAGTTGAGCGGTTTTGATTGAGTTTCTTAGTCCTGAGTTCTAGTTTGATTGCACTGTGGTCTGAGAGACAGTTTGTTATAATTTCTGTTCTTGTACATTTGCCGAGGAGTGCTTTACTTCCAATTACGTGGTCAATTTTGGAGTAAGTACGATGTGGTGCTGAGAAGAATGTATATTCTGTTGATTTGGGGTGGAGAGTTCTATAGATGTCTATTAGGTCTGCTTGCTGCAGAGATGAGTTCAATTCCTGGATATCCTTGTTAACTTTCTGTCTCGTTGATCTGTCTAATGTTGACAGTGGAGTGTTGAAGTCTCCCATTATTATTGTATGGGAGTCTAAGTCTCTTTGTAAGTCTCTAAGGACTTGCTTTATGAATCTGGGTGCTCCTGTATTGGGTGCATATATATTTAGGATAGTTAGCTCTTCCTGTTGAATTGATCCCTTTACCATTATGTAATGGCCTTCTTTGTCTCTTTGGATCTTTGATGGTTTAAAGTCTGTTTTATCAGAGACTAGTATTGCAACCCCCGCTTTTTTTTGTTCTCCATTTGCTTGGTAAATCTTCCTCCATCCCTTTATTTTGAGCCTATGATGTCTCTGCGTGTGAGATGGGTCTCCTGAATACAGCAGACTGATGGGTCTTGACTCTTTATCCAGTTTGCCAGTCTGTGTCTTTTAATTGGACCATTTAGTCCATTTACATTTAAGGTTAGATTGTTATGTGTGAACTTGATCCTGCCATTATGATATTAACTGGTTATTTTGCTCGTTAGTTGATGCAGTTTCTTCCTAGCCTCGATGGTCTTTACATTTTGGCATGTTCTTGCAATGGCTGGTACCGGTTGTTCCTTTCCATGTTGAGTGCTTCCTTCAGGGTCTCTTGTAAGGCAGGCCTAGTGGTGACAAAATCTCTAAGCATTTGCTTATCTGTAAAGGATTTTATTTCTCCTTCACTTATGAAACTTAGTTTGGCTGGATATGAAATTCTGGGTTTAAAATTCTTTTCTTTAAGAATGTTGAATATTGGCCCCCACTCTCTTCTGGCTTGTAGAGTTTCTGCCGAGAGATCTGCTGTTAGTCTGATGGGCTTCCCTTTGTGGGTAACCCGACCTTTCTCTCTGGCTGCCCTTAAGATTTTTTCCTTCATTTCAACTTTGGTGAATCTGGCAATTATGTGTCTTGGAGTTGCTCTTCTCGAGGAGTATCTTTGTGGCGTTCTCTGTATTTCCTGGATTTGAATGTTGGCCTGCCCTACTAGGTTGGGGAAGTTCTCCTGGATGATATCCTGAAGAGTGTTTTCCAACTTGGTTCCATTTTCCCCCTCACTTTCAGGCACCCCAATCAGACGTAGATTTGGTCTTTTTACATAATCCCATACTTCTTGCAGGCTTTGTTCATTTCTTTTTCTTCTTTTTTCTTTTGGTTTCTCTTCTCGCTTCATTTCATTCATTTGATCCTCAATCGCAGATACTCTTTCTTCCAGTTGATCGAGTCAGTTACTGAAGCTTGTGCATTTGTCACGTATTTCTCGTGTCATGGTTTTCATCTCTTTCATTTCGTTTATGACCTTCTCTGCATTAATTACTCTAGCCATCAATTCTTCCACTTTTTTTTCAAGATTTTTAGTTTCTTTGCGCTGGGTACGTAATTCCTCCTTCAGCTCTGAGAAATTTGATGGACTGAAGCCTTCTTCTCTCATCTCGTCAAAGTTATTCTCCATCCAGCTTTGATCCGTTGCTGGCGATGAGCTGCGCTCCTTTGCCGGGGGAGATGCGCTCTTATTTTTGGAATTTCCAGCTTTTCTGCCCTGCTTTTTCCCCATCTTTGTGGTTTTACCTGCCTCTGGTCTTTGATGATGGTGATGTACTGATGGGGTTTTGGTGTAGGTGTCCTTCCTGTTTGATAGTTTTCCTTCTAACAGTCAGGACCCTCAGCTGTAGGTCTGTTGGAGATTGCTTGAGGTCCACTCCAGACCCTGTTTGCCTGGGTATCAGCAGCAGAGGCTGCAGAAGATAGAATATTTCTGAACAGCGAGTGTACCTGTCTGATTCTTGCTTTGGAAGCTTCCTCTCAGGGGTGTACTCCACCCTGTGAGGTGTGGGGTGTCAGACTGCCCCTAGTGGGGGATGTCTCCCAGTTAGGCTACTCAGGGGTCAGGGACCCACTTGAGCAGGGAGTCTGTCCCTTCTCAGAACTCAACCTCCGTGTTGGGAGATCCACTGCTCTCTTCAAAGCTGTCAGACAGAGTCGTTTGCGTCTGCAGAGGTTTCGGCTGAGTTTGTTATTGTTTACTGTGCCCTGTCCCCAGAGGTGGAGTCTACAGAGACAGGCAGGTTTCCTTGAGCTGCTGTGAGCTCCACCCAGTTCGAGCTTCCCAGCAGCTTTGTTTACCTACTTAAGCCTCAGCAATGGCGGGCGCCCCACCCCCAGCCTCGCTACTGCCTTGCCGGTAGATCACAGACTGCTGTACTAGCAATGAGGGAGGCTCCGTGGGTGTGGGACCCTCCCGGCCAGGTGTGGGATATGATCTCCTGGTGTGCCTGTTTGCTTAAAGCGCAGTATTGGGGTGGGAGTTACCCGATTTTCCAGGTGTTGTGTGTCTCAGTTCCCCTGGCTAGGAAAAGGGATTCCCTTCCCCCTTGCGCTTCCCAGGTGAGGCAATGCCTCGCCCTGCTTCAGCTCTCCCTGGTCGGGCTGCAGCAGCTGACCAGCACCGATCGTCCGGCACTCCCCAGTGAGATGAACCCAGTACCTCAGTTGAAAATGCAGAAATCACCGGTCTTCTGTGTCTCTCGCGCTGGGAGTTGGAGACTGGAGCTGTTCCTATTCGGCCATCTTGCTCCGCCCCCAAAAAAATTTTTTTTTAAATAAGCAACTAGAAGTAATTTCCAGACACGAGCTCAATCTTCTACAAAATACTGTCATTTCAACAAAGTGTAAACTACAGATACTTAATTGGGAAAAGTTCAATTGTAATTACTTTCCAATGGCATTTTTTGTTTGTTTTTGAGACAGGGTCTCACTCTGTCACCCAGACTGGTGTGCACTGGCATGATCTTGGCTCACCACAACCTCCGCCTTGCAGGTTCAAGTGATCCTCCTGCCTCAGCCTCCTGTGTAGCTGGGATTATAGGCACGTCCCACTATTGCCCAGCTAATTTTTGTATTTTTAGTAGAGATGGGGTTTCACCATGTTGGCCAGATTGGTCTCGAACTCCTGATCTCAAATAATCCACCTGCCTTGGCCTCCCAAAGTGCTGGGATTATAGGCATGAGCCACAGCGCCCAGCCTCCTAGGCATTTTAAACTCTGAATTAAGAGCTCTTGGCCAGGCATGGTAGCTCACGCCTGTAATCCCAACGCTTTGGGAGGCAGAGGACGGTGGATCACCTGAGGTCAGGAGTTTGAGACCAGCCTGGCCAACATGGTGAAACCCAGTCTCTAATAAAAATAGAAAAGTTAGCCAGGTGTGGTGGAAGTGGCCTGTAACCCCAGCTACTTCGGAGGCTGAGGCAGGAGAATCATTTGAACCCAGGAGGTGGAGGTCGCAGTGAGCCGAAATTGTGCCACTGCACTCCAGGCTGGGCAACACAATACTTCTGGTTGCTTATTTAAAAAAAAAAGTTTTTTTTTTGAGACAGTCTCGCTCTGTTGCCCCCCCGCCAAAAAAAAAAGCTCTGTTGAGTTTAACCTGAAAAGTATGTGTGTAGGGGCTAGGGGGTGGTAGTGAATGGACCAAAGGAAACAATAAGGTAAATTTTAGCAATGAGCATACAAGAACAAATTTAAAGCTAAAGTTAATGCCAGCACAGGGACTCATGCCTGTAACCCTAGCACTTTGAGAGGCTAAGGCAGGAGGTCTGTTTGAGCCCAGGAGTTCAAGATCAGCCTGGGTCACAAAGTGAGACCCCTGTCTCTATAAAAAAATTAGCTGGGCATGATGGCGTGTGCCTATTGTCCCAGCTACTCGGGAGGCTGAGGTGGGAGGATTGCTTAGGCTCAGGAGTTGGAGGCTGCAGTGAGCTGTGATCATGCCACTGCACTCCAGTCTGGGCAACAGAGTGAAACCACATCTTGAAAATATATATATACACACATACACACACACATATATATATAAATTAAAGTTAGAATAAATAGGTTCTATTCCTGTCTGCACTACTGGCCCAAGGAAGAATCACATACCTAAACCTGGGCCTCAGTTTCCTGATCTAGAAAATTAAAAGGACAGACCAAATAATTTTTATAAGAGCATTAAATAAAAGAATAGCTCTCCCAGGCTCAGCTAAGCATCACTGTGCTAGATCCGAGGTGGGCCTACCATGCTCAGTCTTTCCTAAGAATAACCGTGTAATGGACAAATGACAATGCTTGAGGGGTTCCCCCATTTCATAAAATTGCTTACGTGTGGTGTGTTCCAAATGCAATATCCAACTTTGCCTAGGATGAAAAAGAAGTCATTTATTTAAAAACAACTCACTAATATCCATATCTACTGGAAATTACATTAGAAAGCAATCAGGCCAACCTTTTTTTTTTTAAACTATTTCTACTGACCTCTACTGGACAAGCCGTTGAATAACAAGACAGCTTTTATAATAGCATCTGGGGATGCTCATTAAAACAAACAAACAAACAAACAAGACATAAATTTTGTTACCCAGAATGATTCAATATACACTACATTTTTAATTACAGTAATTAGGACTGAGAAGCTTAATTTCTGTAGTTGACCAAAAACTAGTAAAACAAGTGAGACTCTATGCAAAGTTTTAGATATTTGGCTTATACAGAAATTAATGGTACAGTTTTCAGAGAATATTGAAAAGAAACACTGAAGGCTGGGCACAGTGGCTCATGCCTGTAATCCCAGCACTCTGGGAGGCCAAGGTGGGCGCATCACGAGGTCAGGAGATCGAGACCATCTTGGCTAAAGCGGTGAAACCCCGTCTCTACTAAAAATACAAAAAAATTAGCCAGGCGTGGTGGCGGGCGCCTGTAGTCCCAGCTACTCAGGAGGCTGAGGCAGGAGAATGTTGTGAACCCGATGCGTAGCTTGCAGTGAGCTGAGATCGTGCCACTGCACTCCAGCCTGGGTGACAGAGCGAGACTCTGTCTCCAAAAAAAAAAAACACTGAAAGTGGTGGCAACATAAAGACTTAGGATGTCAAATTAAAATAGAAATGTTCTTGTATTAGCATAGCAAGTGCTGAAAATAAAAACATATGAAATCCATTTTCATGTTATAAAATGACACCTTTACAAACTAATGGAGGGTATGTATAGAGAAAACATTTTATCTGATACCCACTAATGCCAGATCTTCGTTAAGCAGAATATGTCACAAGATGCAGCTTATGAAAGAGTTTAAATAACCGTAACAGTTTCACAATTAGGAATGCAGTACATGGGCTTAAATCCTGCCTTCACAACTTTCTACGATCCTGGAAAATACATCTAACTCTATGCCTCAGCTTTCTCCTCTTTAAAACGGTACCATTCTGAGATCCAGAGTTGTTAGGAATGAGCTCACACATGTAAAATGCTGAGGAACGGGGTCCTGCATGCAGTAGGCACTCTACAATCGTAGCAATCACTACTGCAACCTCTCCCCACTACCTACCCCAGCCTCCTTACCACACGACGTGGGTGAAACTTTGCTGGGGGCAGTAACGGGCAACTGGCATACACAGGTGAGTTACAACACAGTCCCTATTTGGAGTGGAGATGCTCACAGACCAGCATGTATCTGTGCACTCTGGCCACAGAAGAAAGTGCAGGGAACTCTATTTCATGTCTTCAAAATTACCAAATGAGAAGGAAGACTGCCACTCTATAAAATGATATTTAGCTGAGAAAGAACAATGGTGAAGAGACCTGGCTTTTGTTTAGTCTGCTACAAGTTACATGCTTCTGGGTAAGTCTAAGCACAAAAAACAAGGATAATAGCTTCAACAGATATTGTTTACTGGGTGCTGTTTCTGGGCTAGTGCATCAAGTCCTTTAGTAAACTCTAGGATGAACAGCATCAGCAATCAATTTCAAAGATAAAGAAATTAGGTGACAAGCCAGTGACAAGCCCAGAATAAGTGTTGCAGACTAAACACTTGTGTCCCCCACCAAATTCATATGTTGAAGCCCCAACTTCCAATGTGACTATTTGGAGAGAGGGACTTTATGGAGGTAATTAAGGTTAAATGAGGTCATAAGGGTGGGATCCTGATGATCCTGATCCAACAGGACTGTTATCCTTATAAAAGAGCTGCCAGACAGCCTGTGTATCTGCCTTCTTCCCTCTCTCTCATGAGGACACCGTGAGAATGTGGCCATCTGTAAGCCGGCAAGAGAGCCCTCACCTGGAACTGAATTGACTGGCACCTTGATCCTGGATTCCCACCTTCCAGAACTGTGAGAAACAAGTGCCTGTTGTTTCAGCGACCCAAGTCCAAGAAAAGTCACCCAGGTAATTTCGTTATAGCATCCAAGCACACTAATACACACACACAGAGCCGGGACTGAGCCCAGGCAGTGTGACTCGGACCACCACAAGGTCTCAATGTCTGCCCTTAGGTCCCACGTTTGCAAAATGGGAGTGTCAGCAGCCACCGACTAATGTGTCTCAGTTTAAATGACCCATGTTGCTAGAAAAATACTTTATCTTACAGACAAGGTACAAAGGTGTTTCAAGACAGCAGGAGAAGGACACAATCCTGTACGTCAGCCTAGAGTTGGGAGCTTCTTCACAGCTCTTTCCAAGAGGTTTGGAAGAAGCGGCTCACTATGCCCTCTGGTGGCCAGCCTGGAGCACACTATCAAGCACAGGAACCACTCTCCTAAATGAGTACAGGTAGGTAATAATTTGAAAAAGACTTTATTTCCATTCATTTAGTCACTGGTTTTCAGAATTTCTGTGTCAGTTTACTTTCTGCCCACTATAAGGTTTGATGGGAGCGATCCTACTGCTGTCTAACCTCTTATGTTGCTGGAAATAGAAGCAAAACAATGGAATTTTGGCAACTGCTAGGCAAAGGCACATCTGTGGGCATGAGATGAGCCCATGTTGGACAGAAGGCATTTTAAAATGACAGCTCCATAAAGTGCAGTGGGTTAAATCATAAGGAAAATGTTGTGAGGTATGTTTAAAACTGACAAGATTGAGCTGCTGTACTGTATTAATCTTAAAAAAATACAAATATATCACATATAGTTGGAAAAAGAGTGATACAGTGTGAGTTGGAATTCTTACATCTTTGTGGATGGGGAAAAAAGACACTAGAAGGAAAATGAGAAAAAAAAAATCCAAAAAGTATGTAATTCACTCTGTCTCTGTACTCACGAGCAGAAATCTTTTGCCAATTTCACTAAGCTAACGATAAGGAAAGAAAAGGGCTATAAAAAGCATCTTTCGTGTTTTCTCATAACGAACTAATACAGCCAAAAGAAATAGGAAAAGGTGACTATCACACCAGCTACTTCATAACCACCATTTCTATAGAAAGTAGTTATCATAAATGTGAGAAATTCTTCTGTATTCCTTGTTTTCCTTTCTACTTTGCATGTTTCTTGCTCAAAATGCCACATGTAATAGAAGATCTTTGTGGATGATGAGTCTAAATAAATGGGTCCTAATGGAAGTCCAAGACTCACTGGCCACGCTGTATGCTAACTGCAAAGTATTAGAACAAAATTATGGGACTATATAAAGAAACTGGGCAATAACCGTTTTTTGGCCTTTGATATGGTTTGGGTCTGTGTCCCCACCAAAATCCCATCTCAAATTATAATCCCCAATGTTGGAGGAGGGGCCTGGCAGGAGGTGACTGGATCATGGGGGTGGACTTCCTCCTTGCTATTCTCGTGATAGTCAGTGAGTTCTCGTGATATCTGGTTGTTTGATAAAAGCATGTAGTTCTTCCCCCTTCTCTCTTCCCTCTTGCTCCGAACAAGTAAGATGTGCCAGCTTCCTCTTTACCTTCTGTCACAACTGAAAGTTTCCTGAGGCCACCTCAGCCATGCTTCATGTATAGCCTGCAGAACCGTGAGCCATTAAACCCCTCTTCTTTATAAATTACCCAGTCTCAGGTATGTCTTCATAGCGGTGCAAGAACAAACTAATATAGCTTTCTTTTCTGCTTTGCTTTGGTCCTAGCAAACCAAGTGGATACGCCTGTTATAAGACCATTTAATGTCTCCACATTGGACTTAGATCATACACAGCATACGACTCACATAGTTTCCTAACACTTTTTTAAATCTATAGGTCTCTCCTGTTCAGACCTTACATGCAACTGATGTGAAAAAAAAGAATTACGGTTGAAGGACTACCGTTGAAGTGTCAATGGCAGCTAATATAAGTTACATAAGGTGTCACAAAAAACTACAAGTTTTAAGTTGCACTCACAGGATACTCACAAAAAGAAACCCACAGCCACTGAACTGCATCCAGAAGACCTGTTCAGTGTTGGAACGCAGGTTTCGACAGGCATACTGACAAGCTACATGTAACCAGTGGAGCACTAGCAGGTTGCAGGAAGACTCAGAATTCATAGTACACTGAGTAAAACTGAAGAAAGAGAATGTTTGACTCAGAGAGAGAAAACTAAGGGAGACAGGACAGATCACTTTAGATATATGAATCACTGACATGTGTAAGATGAAAGACTTACTTATTTGTGTGGCTCCAGAAGGGGAAAATTAAGACCAATGAGTAGAAATTAGGAGGAAGACTTCAGGCCCACAAAAAGAAAAACCTTTCCAACTCTGAGGAGTACTACGAATGGGATGCTCTATCTCAGGAAGTGTTTAAGCTGAGGCTAGACAAGTATCTATTGATGACTGATGCTGGAGAGAGGATTTCTGTACTAGGTGGGAGGGTGGACTAAATGTCTAAGTTTCCTTCTAACTCAGACTACGCATGCTCTTCAATGGCAGTAAGTGGTTTACCTGACAGAGAGAGATGTTCTCGTAAGGCTTGGCCTGGGCATGGAGGTGAGCCTTAGCCTCTCGCTTATCACCATGCACAAGCAGGATTGGCTTCTTCCTGAAAAGAGAGCATTAGTATTTAATATACATCATTCATGGCTGGGCACGGTGGCTCACACCTGTAATCCCGGCTCTTTGGGAGGCTGAGGCAGGTGGACTACCTGAGGTCAGGAATTCGAGACGAGCCTGGCCAACATGGTGAAACCCCGTCTCTACTAAAAATATGAAAATTAGACAGGCGTGGTTGTACGTGCCTGTAATCCCAGCTACTCCGGGGCTGATGCAAGAGAATCGCTTGAACCTGGGAGATGAGGGCTGTAGTGAGCTGAGACTGAGCCACTGCACTCCAGACTAGGTGTCAGAGCAAGACTCTGTCTCAAAAATAAATAAATAAATAAATAAATAAATAAAAATACACCATTCATGAAGCTGGACTCGCCTCATTAAGGAATGCTAACTTCCTTATCACTCGATATTTGTTTCTGGTCTTTGTAGTGAGTGAAGACAGGGCTAACACAGAGCAGTGATCAGCTAATGTTCATTTACCGGATACCTTTATAATGGGGCTACATGGCCTGATCCTGCAGCTCTGTTGTAATACAGAGGGGTAATGACTCAAGAAAGTCCTTGAATAATTATCTTCTTTGGCCGAAAAGGGCACATAAGTAGCTCTGTGTTAAAATATTTAAGTCCAAATAAATTAAAGATACATAATTATTATTATATAATATAGTGCTTTTTTCTTTTTCTTCTTTTGGACGACACAGTGGATTCATTTCATACCACATCTATATTCACCAAACTCCTCCTGTGTGCTATGTACTGTGCTATATACTGACCCAGGATACAACAGAGAACAGGCCCAGGCCCAGGCCCACAGCATGACGCAGCTTCACTAATGAGTGGTTAGATGCCTATGAAACAGAGCCCAAGCTATGTTGAAAATGCTGTATTTTTGAATTACAAATATAATATAAAAACACTCTTCAAGAATACATTAAAAAGGCTTTTGAAGGATTCTTGATCTTTCTGATTAATTCAAAGCAAGATAATACTTAGAAATAAGCATATTTCTACAAGCTCTCCCAACACAACAAAAATTGGATATAAGCAATCAAGCAAGATAAACAACTGAGCCACTTCCACATTTATCAATCACACTGCAGAATGATGCTCTACCATTCACAAAGGAACAACAATCAACTAGAGAGAAACATCATAGAAAATGCACTTCCAGTACTAATGCCTCACTACCTCATGCTCAATAGCTTTATTCTAACATGACAGGTAAAATAAAACTATGAAATATGCACCTGTGATTTTTAGAAATTAGGTAAGAAAAACAGAGAATAACGTAAGAAACACTCGTGCATCTAGTACCTAGAAGTAAAAAATGTTATATCAAGTCATCTTATAAAAAAAGATTAAATATGACTGATAGAAATTGAAGTCCTTATCAATTCTTTCAAATTTATTGATTCTACGACTTATTACAAAAAGACGGCACCTGAAGAACAGCATACTGAGGTATAAATCCTTATGATCTGAATTTTTCTACATACAAATTCTGGATGTTACTTAAACTTACCATTTAGGTCACTCCTCGTTCTTCTAAGGCTCGGAATAGCCTTCCCAAGATGCATTTGGCAATAAGGGGATGCAGGGAGAAGAAGGACACTTTTGCCCCTTTAGTTACTGAGAGTCCAATGGGTACTGTATTAGTGTGCCAGGGCCTCTTCCAAAACAAAGTACCACAAACTGGGAGGCTTAGACAACAGAAATATATTGTCTTACAGGTCTGGAGGCCAGAAGTCCAAGATCAAGGTGCTGGCAGGATTGGTGCCTAAGGTATGAGGCACATCTGTTCCAAGCCTCTCCCCCAGCTTCTGGGAGCTTGGCTTGTAAATGGCGTTCTGTGTCTTTACATGGTCTTATCTCTGTCTCTCCACTCAAATTTCTCTTTTTATAAGGACGCCAGTCATACTGGATTAGTGTCTCTCCTAATGCCTTCATTTTATCTTGATTACCTTTGTAAAGGCTCTATCTCCAAATAAGATCACATTCTGAGGTACTGGGGCTTAGGATTCCAACAGATCTTTTTTGGGGCAGGAGAATTTAACCCATAACAGATACAACAAAGGAACTGTAGTCTACACTTTGCCAACACTCTAAGGGGGTGACAATTTGATTTCAAGGTCTTTAAGAAAAGGGAGGAAGAACAGAAAATGCCAACGTGACACCCAAGGATACTACTGCCAGGAGGAGCCAAGACAGAAATAGCTTGTTGCCTTCAGACAGCCATTCTCTCCTCCTTCCCTAACAAAAGGCTAATTCAGGACAAGGTGAGCTAAGCTAAAAGACATTTCTAGCCTCTTTTAGAGCTAGTTAGCATGCAGCTGAGCTCTGCTCAATGAAACAGATGCAGGTGTTGTGTGGGGTTTCCAGGAAGGCTACTCAGACGGGCATAGCTGGAATGTGGGCCTTTTTGTCCTTTTCCTCCTTTTCCCTTCCTGCTACCTGGAATAGACAAGTAAGCTGGAGCTCTAGCTGCCATACTGGGCCATGAGGTGACTCTGAAGACTGAAGTCGCACACCAGGATGGTGGAACAGAAAGGGTAGGTGGATAAGTTTTTGAGAACCCCAGTGCCCCCATCCAGACCATAAATGTTTACCATTTGAAAGTATCAGGCTGGAAACAATTTCTGTCTTATTTAAGCCACTGTTATTTTGAGTATTCTTTTAGATGCAGCTAAAACTAATTCTGTGTGTTACAGGTCAAAAAAAAACAAAAAACAAAAAACAAAAAAAGCCCCAAGTGCCAAAGCTGCTTGAAAAATTTTAACAGTATTTTATCTACTGTTAATGTCAAAGGTTTCCACAATCTGATGCCCTAAATGTACCAAGAATTTTGAGGACCCTGACAATCATTTTTTCTTGTGTGTTTTCCTCCATTCTACTTGCTGTTATGGGAATCTGTCCTGTAAATGTGTTAGAAACAGGGAAGGGTGGCACCTCACTGTGTGATGCCCTATTTGGTCTGTATTGCCTAATATGAGGCTGATGAAGTGCAGGCAGAAGGCAGAACTAAAAATCCATCACCTCCAGAGCCTAGATAAGGGAAGGCCATATGTATAGCCTCCTTTCTTCATCTCAGAAACACAAAGGGATCCTCAAAACAGAACAGCATTGATGTGCTACAGAAAGCATGGCACGCTGGCCGCATGTTGGCACGTTCACAGATCTACAAGGTATGTGGAGACGGTATTTTCCTTCATATTAAGACTGGACATAAAGTTCTGTTATTTGAGTTAAAGCCTGTCCTTATCTACTTCCTGAAAGAGCACAGAGGAAATGCTAAAATCTGTAAAAACAATGTGTAGGATGAAATAGATCAAAGAATGCTGTTTTCCCAATATAATTTAATGTCTGTATGATTTTAATGGTTTCAAAAGAAAAACTCAAAAAAAGATGGGTGGCTTTCACCTGAGAAATACAAATCTTAGGTGTCAAAGTCCCCTTACAGTTTATGGTGGTGTCTGTCACCCTGTGGAACTCACCTGAATTCTGGTGGATACTGTTTCACGAGCCAATCCACGTCAAAGCAGTAGTTAAACTAGATGGGAGAAAAGAAGAGTAACTAAGCCATGGGTAATTTTGCCAAACAGTTCATAAGGATAATTATTTGGTTATTACATTTAAGGAAACTTTAAAATAGTGATACATTACATGTATTATTTATAAACCTGGAGGGTTATGCTGCAATACTAATAAACCTACAATTTATCTTAAATGCATGGTTAAAAGAACCTAAATGGAGCCAAGTACATGAGATAACAGGTTCCCAGGAAATTATCTCTGCATGTGTTGGCAGCATCTGTACTTGTCTGCAGGGTGTTATTACATTATGTCTAATGGCCCTGAGATTAATTTAAATAAAAGGACTTATAAATTTACCCCTTTTCCCCTAGGTGATTATAAAAAGACAGATACTGGAGAAAAATATCCCAGGACTTTCAGAAAAGAACGTTTCCTTTCAGGCTAACTTATTAGCTAGCTTTGTACACAGCCACCTGGGACCAGACATTCACTAGGCTTCTAACAATTAAATCTTAAATGCAAGTTCTGTACTGGTCTTACCCGTGGAGGCTCCTCCCCACATCTGGGTAATCCTGGACTTAGTAGCTCAATTGAGCTAACAGGGCATTTGCAAATGCTCCCCACCTTCCAAATGGAAACCAGAACTTTTGATGCCAAACCAAATGTAAAGGAAGCCTGGCTTTCTTCAGGGACAGGGCCCTTTTGTTTGGACCATTTACTCGCGGGTCTGGAGCATTACATGATTTATCAAGACCAAGGGACCAGCTCAGTCAGGAAGGAGCCATTGAACATGAAAATGCACATTTTTCTAAATCAAATCAAACTTGACTTGGCCTTCACTACTCTATCCATACCTCCCCACTCTGCACCAGAGTTAACTCAGTCCCATGAGTTAATCAGTGTCCCACTCTAGTCTTTCAAGCTGGAATGTCCAAAGTGACATCTTGGCCAGTGGAGCCTGACTGAGTCAAATGCTCTCCTGATAGTGACATCCCCATTCTGTTGATGGCCATGGATCCCATTACTGTGGCACTTGAGCCAGCCTCCCGATATGTGCCATCTCGGTCTCTGAACGGGACTGAGACCCCCAAACTGCACCTCTCATATTTTCTTATGGAGTTGTTTAATTACCTGTCTACTTTCACCCAAAGAAAAAACAGTTTAAAGGTATACTTACCTGAGCTGAAGAAACAAGCGTCCCAAATAAAGGAGATAAAATATCTGAGAAGACAAAACATAAATTAAATTCACACTTGCAAAAATCCTCTAGTCGTAATAATCACTACCAACTCATTCAACAGTCACTGACAATCAAGATCTGACTCAGAACACAGTAAGCTAAATACAAAGTCTACAAAGTCAGACTGTAATGTTCCATAAAACTAAAAAAAATTTTCCCTACGGTATTTAATGTTTATCATATATTCTTTTATAAAACAATGCAAAATTAAAATCTACAACTTCAGTACTGAATGACTGATCAATTTTAGAAACTCAATATGGACAATAATGATACATACTCTTTTCAGATCTCTGAACTTCTACCTCCTCCAAGTACCCATTCAAGTCCCTCTCTAGGAAACCTCCCAACTCAAGACTAGAAAAACTTTCTAAAAAGATTTTATAAACCTGGACAGTTTAGAAGGACTTTCCAGAAAGACTGGAAAGCAGTTGCGGCCTGTGAACGAAAGGACAGAGGCACCCACAATTCTAAACTCACATTCCTGGTGTTCCTGGTCATCTCTAGGGAAGTCCCACTTTATACCCACCCAAGCTTTACATCAGATAGGTTGGAAAGCTCACTTCTCAAACCACACCACGAGAGAAAGTACACGATCATCATGACCTTCCATTACAACAGCCACACCTGCGGAGACCTGTTAGGTGCCAAGCAGCATTCTTGGCACTTCCCATGTATTACTTACTCCTTATATCCATTTTCTAGATGGGGTCTGTTATTCCTATTTTATAGAGGAGAAGCCTCCTTAGGAGGCTGCCCACACACACACAGCTAGGAAGGGGTAGAGTTGGGGTTTGCACCTAGGCTGTCGGGCTCCAGCACCTTCGCTCAAACCCACTAAACTACCTCTGAGAATTAAGACTGGGCTCATTCATTTGGCAAATATTTACTGAGTGCCTCCTATCTTCTGGACATTGAGCTAGATGCTGGGGTAGAAAGATTTTCAGAGAACAAAAAAATCGTAAGGAAGTTTCTACCTTATTGGGAGAGTTGCAGAGATAAACTGCAAATATTCTTCCATTTTGCCCCCACCAGCACGTATTTCTACCCTTCTAAATTTTACCCATCTTCCAAGGGCCTTTTGAAGTCCCCCTTCCTCCATGAGATCTTCTAAACCATCTACAATTATGGCACATGGTAGAGTGCTATAGCAAACAGCATGGATTCTGATGCCAGAATGTCATTACCAGCTCTATGACCTTGGGCACTTTTCTAAACTGCAGATCCATCACTTATCCAAGGAAGACAATTGTAACATCTACTCATAAGACTGTCATAAGGATTAAAGGAGAAAATATATATAAGAGCTCCATGACATGTTACCACAATATCTTGGTGCCAATAGCCAGTTATTTTATTATGTAGAGCAAAACTTGGCAAAATTCTCTAAGTATTTGTCAATCTGTCTCAAACAAACAAAAAACTTGACAAAGTACCAAGATAAGAGATTCTCAAAAAGAAAACAACCTGTAGAACACTCTACAGTATGGAATACTCCAACATGTATACATCACACATAATATACAGTTATATACTGGATATATATTAAAAAAAAAAAAACACTAGCGACAGTTAACATTACTATTCTTAAATATGGGACCGGAAAAAAATCTGAAATAAGGGTAATACTGTTTACTGTGTGTATTTGCCATGTGAATATATTACACCGGTCACTTCATGTATTTGCTCCCATTTTTCTGCATTTCCAGTTTAAAGATGAGCAAACTGAAATTCAGAGAACGTTAGGTCCTGTGTTAACAATCCATATGGCAAATGAGTGGCAAGGCTGGAAAGCAGATTCTAGAGCTCCCGGTATTCCCCCTGCAAATGCTCCCTGAGGAAGAAGGAGAGTAAACTAAGGCCATCTTTTGATCCATAACTGAAACATCTATTTGTACTCAGGCACTGTTTTTTTTCTTCTTCTTCTTCACCAGGAACCAAACCCAGGCTTTTAAGCTGTGGTTCTCAAACCTGAATGGGCAGTAGAATCCCCTGATGGGCTCCTGAAAACACAGCTTGCACGGTCTCACCCTCAGTCTGATTTAATGAATCTGGAATGGAGCCTGAGAATTTGCATTTTAACAAGTTTCAGGTGATGCTGAGGCTGCTGGTCCAGGGCCCATGGAGAACCATTACTGTTGTCAAGTATTTGCTACCTTGTTGATAAACTGTTACTCATCAAGCTTAATCTTAAAAAGTTAAATAGGCCGGGCGCGGTGGTTCAAGCCTGTAATCCCAGCACTTTGGGAGGCCGAGACGGGCAGATCACGAGGTCAGGAGATCGAGACCATCCTGGCTAACACGGTGAAACCCCATCTCTACTAAAAAATACAAAAAACTAGCCGGGCGAAGTGGCGGGCGCCTGTGGTCCCAGCTACTCGGGAGGCTGAGGCAGGAGAATGGCGTAAACCCGGGAGGCGGAGCTTGCAGTGAGCTGAGATCCGGCCACTGCACTCCAGCCTGGGCGACAGAGCCAGACTCAGTCTCAAAAAAAAAAAAAAAAGTTAAATAATGCTAAACATGGTGCTAAGTGATACAAGGGGTTGAGCTACAAGGTTTTGAGAACACACGCTCTGCCTGAGTTAAGTAAACAATCTGCTGTCATACTAATGCACTTGCCTATCAAGAATTCTTTTCCTGAAAGTAGTTAAGAACACAAAGAAGAGTTCTCAGAAATCATTCTAGGCTGCCCTCCTTGTTTCATGGAGGAGAGACTCTCAAGGGCAATTCAACAGCTCCTTGACAACCAGCATCCTCTTACCCTTGATGTGGAGGGCTCCGGAGTTATACTTCGGCTTAACTCCGGAGACTCTAGTGAGGTAAAACTGGAAGGGGTTCCCTTTATCCAGCATGTCCCAAATGTCCTGGCCCTCCCCTGATGTCTCATACTCTTCCTCCTCTTTGAGCCTGTGGCAGGTGGGAGGGCCATGATTTTCAGTTCTTTGGGCAGTGCCGTCACTGGGAGCTGAGATGTCTTTCTCCTCTTTGATCACCACTTTCTCAGCCTGCTTCTGCAGCATTTCTGGCTGTAGCTCATCATCACTGCTGGACAGACACCAGCCTAGGTCCTCCTGGGAACCGCTTTTCTGCCTTTTGGGAGGTAAAACTGAATCTGTATCGCTGAATTTCACAGGTGACATTTTCCTCTTGTGTGCGGCTTTCCGGGCCTCGGAACAGGTATACCTGGGCTCATTTGCTGCTCCTTGCAGAGAAGAGGTAGACGGCTTGTCTGGTTTTGGCTTTTCTTCCTCACTTTCATCACTACTGGATATGGTCCACCTCCCATAATCGCCTTCCTGAGACATTATACTCCTGGAAATGGAAAGTGGAAACGTCAGCATTTCCCATTCATCAGGGCATTGGCAAAATAACTTCATTGCTCTCAACTTCCCTATCAGATGAGCTGACACCTTCCAGAGGCTGACCACCTACCATCAGCTGCTTTTTGGGTGTTTATAAGCACATTACCAGAATCCACTATCAGATTCTGCCAAATTACAAGCAAAAGTCCTGGTCACCTTTCTTTCTTCTTCCCTTTGTTTTCCTTCTTTTTTTTGAAACAGGGTCTCACTCTGTCACCCAGGCTGGAGTGGTACAGTGGTTCAATCTCAGCTGACTGCAACCTTTGCCTCCTGGGCTCAAGCAATCCTCCTGCCTCATCCTCTGGAATAGCTGGAACTACAGGCGGACACCACCACGTCTGGCTAATTTTTTTTTCTTTTTTTTGGTAGAGACAGGGTTTCACCATTGTTGCCCAGGCTAACCTTGAACTCCTGGACTCAAGAGATCCACCCACCTCGGCCTTCCAAAGTGCTGGAATTACAAGTATGAGCCACCATGCCCAGCCTTGTCTTTCAATCTAAACTTTGTTCTTAGATATCCTAGGAAAGGGGGTTGAAGAAGGCATCAAGACAAACTCCAAAATAAAACATTCATTCTTGACCCTGAAGCTTCCAACAAGCATTTGGGGTTAATCTATGTTCAATGCTTAAGGTCAAATTGGAATTTACAAACCTGGCCTTCACCCAAGTACAGACACCCACAGGACTTCAGTGATTATGTATGTCTTACTTCCCAAAAGACAACCCATTTACCATAAAGCTTAACAAAGTCTTCAAGAGGAATGTCAAATGACCACTTAGGTATGTACGTTATTTACACTACTTCCATGAGGACCCAACTAACTCAAGATACAATTATCCTATTGGCCACATCATAAATCTACTAAAACCTGCACAGAAATAACTTATACTGAGGAACACACTTTTATTTTTTAAGCCACATAGTTAAATTCTACTTTCTTGTTCTGAGAAGAGGAAAGTACACGAAACAGTCACTTTCGGTGTTACCTACAAAATCTCGTCAATTCAATGGTAAAGGACTATCTAAGTCGACTTTCCAGATAGCTAAAGAACAGTTCCTCAAAGTGATACTTTTAACATTTTAGCACACGACCCGGGGGAAAATTACAAAACTCAATAGTCTGTACTCAGATTAACAGTATCTTTAAGTTTTTGCCATTTTAAAGAGGCTGAAAAAGATGCATTGACTGGGGTAAACCAAGATGGTGACACTCCCTTCACAAAACCTACATTCCCCCAAAAAGAGAATTCTACATTATTCTACATCAAAAATTTTGCAAATGAATACATATGCATGTGTCTCTAGATGAGAACTAAAAATAAAAATCTTGGCCAAGGGGACCCCAGAGAAACCTTAAAAACTGAGTTCCAGGCCATGGTGGGATGGGAGCTCAGACATGCCTGTTATATCCCCTCCCTTCTGCGGTTTAAACACAACTGACCAGAGATCATAAGACTGGCAGAATAGATTCTGTGACAATATGACACCAAATCATAAACAAGACCTAGGGCCATGCCAAGCAAGGGTTAATCCCACATTGCTACCCTTAAAGAATAAACTATGTTCTACCTGCCACAAGGTTCTTTTTTCTTTAGCAGCTAAACAAGCACTGGCCTGGAGATAAGTAATATCTAAACAATTGCAGCTCACCTACTGCCAGATGCTTGGCTAACTGACACCCCTGGTTCCACAGGCCATCACTGCAGCTGTCATTGGACAATGAACCAACTTCAGTAACTTTCTCCTGAAAAGAAACCACAGACTGGTTCTGACCAGTCCTCAGAGGCTGAGCACTGAGTGCCTTCATGTCCCTCCTTCACCTTTTGACAGAGTGCCTAATTGTAAATCATTCAAATGTTAAGTTTCCATCCCAAAGTGAACATAAGATGCACGAAGCACGCACGCTTGCTCATTACGCATGCACATGTGCCCCCCTTGGTGAATATTCATAGCTTCTCCCACACCTGTTGAATATGTATACCTGGCCATCCCATTCAGCATAAATCCCTGTTCTACCCTCTCCTCCCTGGGATGCCATTAAAGCTCTCTGCCTGAGGCTGTGCTTCCTAGCCTGTCAGGCCACACTGCAGGCTGTATCCCTTTACAAGAACTAAGCTCTCCTTTCTAAATGTATACATCTCATGATTTTTCAGTGGACACAGCAGGGGGTGGAGGGTTGGAAATACTTTAAAGGTATCTATCTCTTTTCACAATGTCTCTCTTAACCTTCTTCAATTAACTACCAGTCAAGTCAAGCAAGCCTTCTGTAAGTTACACATTTTGAGGAGCTTTTATGCAAGAATGCATCAAGACAATAATCTGGCCCGTTCCACATGGCTCAGGGTCACTATTACTCGTCCGGCATGAACACACTATCTCACAGCCAAAGCCTGACGGACGCCAGAGAGGGCTGGGGCCACTTGCTTCTGGAATAGTGACCCGACTGTCTGGCTCTTTTGAGCCTTCATATCTGCTTTCTAAAAGTTTCTGTTCATTTCTACACTCTGTCCAGCCCACTTCAAGGGGTTTATTAAAACTCATAGCATAGGTATATTTTCCCTAAATTGTTTCTCATCTGCTAAGGGTTAAGAAACTAGATAACCAGGTTTGTAGAACTGTATTGTCATGGTTAAAGGGGTCTGAGTGCCCAGTTTCCTCCATGAAAGAGATTCAGATTGATTTACTACTCAACACCTACTTAAGCAGCTCAGAGGTGTTTCCTTAAATGTTTTTAATCCTTCCGGTATTTAAAAAAACCCCACAAAACCTTAGGTTCCTCTAGTGTTCTAGAGTCTAGAAGTTGCTGGATAGAGGTATTTAAGCTGCTCCAATTCACTTTGAAGAAACTATTTCAGTGGCTACAGTTTTGTGACTTTAAAGTTATTTAGGGAAAAAAGAACCACCTTAGGAAAAACCACTCTCTGAATGTCAGCTCTAGCTTCCTTTGAATTCTAAAACAGTTCTAAACCAACGCGGTTAGCAGGTCTCAGTTTTTGATGAGAAAGGATTCAGCTTCCACTCTTAGAAGCAGTTTGCAGAATCTTAAGAGGCTACCATAACAAATATGGTTGCCTGCATTATATAAATAAAATGGAATTCCCAAACCCTGAGAATTCTGTAGGTAAAATTCTTAGCAACTCTGTGAATTATTTGGAGAATTTCAAAGGTTTTTTAGTTTTATCATTATCTACATTTTCTAAAACCATATGGAAGTGGAATTCCCTCCAACAAAGTAGGACAAGTGGGTAAAAAATAGAACAAAGCTTTAAAAAAAGACATTTTCTAGAGAACAAAGTCTTTTTTGAGGTTCTGCTCTATACATAAAGTTTTGGACCTGCTGACATTCAAAAATATGCCTGAGTCGTTTATTAAAGACAACCCAATACAATTTGTTCAGTTACAATTTAGTGCAATACACTAATAAAATTGTCTTATTGTTAAGTGTAGCAGCTTACCAACCTCTTTATGAAATCAAGGCTCGCGCCCAGCTGGAAAAGAACTGCTGGTAAGCACCAATATCAAATTTTTACTTTGGATAACTGGATGGTCACCAGTAACAGAATTTACTTCCCTCGTACAGGCTCTGATGCCCAGTATTGCAGAGTGCTTTGTAATCAAGTCGTACAGTTTTAACAAATGTAGAACCCAAGAGCTTTCCTTCCATTGTTTATCATCTGTCTTCCCTGCCTGGGCAGTGCTTGGTACAGCATAAATCTAAAGTCACACTTTTGGTAAGTGGTACCGGAAGAGTCAGAGAATACAACACAGCTGTGTTGATGCTGAATCCTGGTACTCAGTCAGGACGGCACAGTGTTTCCTAAAGTGGGATTGGGACCTGACATTATGAAAGTACCTCCCCTTCCCGTCCAATCCAACTCCCTGTTAAATCAAGAAGAAAGTTGCAGTGTTGTAGAAATGCTTTTAATCTTGATTTGGAACAAACAGCAGGGTTTGGGCTCTTCTGCAGGCACCAACAATTTTGTTTACCATCAACAGAAGGTATCTGATGGCTATGTTATATTTGAAATAGCAAAATAAAGTTTATGTAAAAGAATGATTGGATTCAAACAACAATATTAAGTATACGATAGTCCACGTGATAGCAGCAGGAGGCAGACACATCCCTAGGCAGATAGGGGCAGAGCCTCATTAAAACCCCACCTGCAAACCAAAGACAGTTTAAAGCCTGAAAGCCAAGCTACAAGTCTTGGATAAATCCACAGACCGGATTGATAACCTCTCTTCCCACTTGGCACGGCTTCCTCTAATTAATCCCCACCCTTCACCTACTTTACATACACCTACCCTTCCCTAATTCGTTTTTTACATTGTCAAGCCCACCTTTGGGTGGTGCCTTTGTTTTAGCCTTTTTTGCATACTTACAAACCGATCAGCACACACTCCCCCATTCTGAGCCCATGAAAGCCCCAGACTCAGCCACACTGGGGAACTGCCCACCTTTGGGTGGGGACAGGGGACACCCACTTGGGGTCCCCTCTCTGCTGAGAACTGTTTCATCACTCAATAAAACTCATCTCCCCCCTTCTCCCCTTTGGTTGTCACCCTAACCTTATTATTATTGGACGCAGGACAAGAAACTGGGACCTGCTAAACAGCAAGTGCAAATAGAGCTATAGCCCTGTAGCAGCACTCTGTTCCGCTGGTGGAACAACGGGAGAGGGAACCACTGGCTGCCACACACCTCCATTTACTGGGCTGCAGATGGCGGGACTAAAAGAGCTGTTAATACATCCCTATTTGCCTGGCGTCTCCAAGTGTTCGGGCACCACCACATCCCCCTCATCTGGACACCAGAGTCTGATGCCAGAGTCACTTGCCACACGCCCAGGCCATCCACAGTCCTGCATGGAGTCTGTGCCTGGGCCAGCACTTGGAACAGCCATCCAGGCCTCCAGGCTCACTCATACACCCACTCCTTGCAGGCTGAGCGTGCATAGTGGCCACGGGATCTGGGCCAGGAGGAAAGCCAAACGCACAATGCCAGGCTGAGTGGGCAGGGCACCTCCTGCGGCCAGCCCAGGGCTGGAGGTCTCCAGCTGGCGAAGCGGCCCTGAAAAAAATCCCGTGTCATATGTGTTAAGGGAATAAAACAAACTGGGGAGAAGGCAGGTGAGTGTGATTGAAATTTGGCAAACACTGTACTAACATGAAAAATCTAAAGAAATTTTCCCACCAAACGCTAGCTCAGGACACTGCTAGTGCTTTTATTAAGGACTTTAAAACATGTTGTGGATATGAAAGGTACTCAATTTAGAGCTGCTGTTTCCTCACTCCCCACTATACCAGACCCAGCTGGGGCATTTCTCTTTCACCTCCAGTTGCTCCTTCTCATGGAGCTTAAAAACCATCAGGTGGGCCCGGGAGCCAGGCTCCTCAGTTGAGTTCCTGTGTGGCCAAAGGCAGCATGGGCCCTGTCTCAAACCGAGCCATGACTAGGGAGTAAATGTGCACTCGGGCAGGTTAGTTAACTGCTGAGCCTCGGTTTTTCAGTCTGTAAAATGGTTATCAGGCTTACCCCCTGGAGTGCATTCATTCAACAACTTACTGGGCAGTCATTATGTACCGAAAACTGGGAATGAGGCCTTAACAATATAGTTTCTATCCTAGCAGAGCATAATTTCAGGGCAGAAGAGACAGACCCACATATAAAAATTTTAATAGCCAAGGTGAGTTAGACATTCATTACAAGTATGAGACAGAGAAATAGGGGTGATCTTGGGAATATGCTGAAGAAGTAACATATAAATGAGACCCAGAGGGCCAAAAGGAGCCTGCTGTCTAAATGATGGGGTGCAGAGCATTCCAACTAGAGGGTACCCAGCCTGCAGAGATGGGAAAGAGATCATAAAAAAGGACTTAGGCAAGGCAGGCAACGGTCCACGATGAAGGGGGTGAGGGGAGAAGACCCATTAAAGAAATTGGATTTTATGCTATGAACAATGGGGTCTCACTTAGGGCTTTAAGAAGGGGAATCCGAATTGCATTTATTTTTTTTTGAGACAGAGTCTCGCTCTGCCACTCAGGCTGGAGTGCAATGGCACAATCTCGGCTCACTCCAACCTCCGCCTCCCAGGTTCAAGCAATTCTCCCACCTTAGCCTCCTGAGGAGCTGGAATTACAGGCACCCGCCATCATGCTCGGCTAATTTTTGTACAGACGGGGTTTCACCATGTTGGCCAGGCTGATCTCGAACTCCTAACCTCAAGTGATTCACCCGCCTCGGCCTCCCAAAGTGCTGGGATGACAGGCGTGAGTCAACGCGCCCGGCCTTCGATTTGCCTTTTTAATACAACTGTGTGCGCTCCAACTCTGTGGAGAACGGTTTGGAGACGAAGTGAGAGGGCTCTTGCTGAAGGCGTTCGACGGGAGCCGATTCGGAAGGTGAGGAAGTGATAACAGCAGCTGCCAACCTTACTGTGCGATCATCTGGGGCCGGCCAGGCACGATTCGAAGCGCCTCATCGGGTGTAAACTCGCTTCACCCTCAGGACAACTCTATACTACGTACCGTGACCGTCCTCCTATACTGAGAAACCAAGCACAGAAAGCTTAAGCGTCTGGCACGTGGTGGGCGCTTTCCTACTCACTTTCTGGGACCACGCACCTGTAAGCTTAGGTCTGGGAATAAAAACCCCAGCAGGGGCCCCTAGCGCCGCGCCCAGGCAGGACACAGGTCTCCGCGGCGCCTGTGCGCGCCCCCTGAGACGCTGTGATCGGAGGAAACCGAGGCCCAGGGGCCGAGGCGACCCTGCCCCGTCTTCCCAGCCGCGCCGCTTCCTCGCGGTCCGCCTCCAGCCCTGCAGGACCCCAGCAGCCCGCGAACCGCGACCGGTCAGGAGCAGGTTCCCGGGCCCGACCGCAGCCCTCGAGAGACCGCACCGACTCCGCGCCCGCTGCCGCCCAACACGTACCTGAGGCGCACCGAACTCACGCTCGCCTCGGATCCCGCCCCTTCGGCGGCCGCCGCGCATGCGCGCAGTTGAAACCCTCGGGGCAGCGTCGCGGGGCTCGAGGTCCGGCCCCTTCCCCTTCCGGGGAGCGCACCGCTGGGTCCTAAAGCCCGCCGGGTGTCTACCCAGGACGGGGCTCGGGAGACCTCGTCTCCCCTAGCTCTTGGCTGACCTCCTGGAGACTTCTTAAAACGAATAGCGAACCAGAAAGGCGTCCCCTAACTTCTCTCTAGTTAACTACGAGCAAGACTAACCCTCTTTACGGAATTCTCATGGCTCAAGCTCCCAGGACTCCATGCAGCGGCGTTTGGTTTAAAGTGGAGAGAGGATACGCTTAGGATAAAGGCAGCTGCAAGGAGACCTGTGTCCTGGGAAGGGCTGGGTGCAGACTTTGAAATCTGCTGTAAAATAAAATGTTAAATGAGTTCCCACCGGACTCAGAACTTCGAATGTCTGTTCCTTCTTCGAAACAGTTGCGTTCTTTTAAAATCTTCTGAGAAACGGAACTCGCCCCACAGTCCTTGCCTTCAATAAGGATGTTTGCTGTGGAATTTGGGCTCTGTGCTATTTGTGGTATTTATTCTTGGAATCTCCCTCAAACTAGGCATGTCTTCCAGAGGACTGAGTGAAATACATTTGTGTAAACATAACGGCTCGTTTCGTTCGTTCATTGAAGATCTACTTTGTGCCATGTACAGTGCTAGGTGCTGGGGTTATCTGGAGGACAGAGCAGATGTAGTAGCTACCCTGGGAGCTCGATCTCAATGACTTGCTGATCTGAACGAGAATCCCGGACTTGGCTCTTTTCGTTTGGTTGTCTTTATGTTTGTTCACACTCTTTTTGTCTCCAATGATGTTTAGCATAGTGTCATAGATCTAAATGATTAAAAGTAACTTACTGCAAGATGGAGGGAGAGAATGAAATAAATCATGAACCAGGCATTGAACCAGCACCTAGAAGCGCTTGGATTTCCGGCCACACGCAACTAGTAAAGGGGACAGAGGGGGCGGAGCCAACTGCTGGGGGCAGGCCTGGGCGCCTCACTGCCAGGGCGGCTCCTAGGAAACTTGATTAAACAAAGGCTCTGGCCAATAGCCCTGCGGGATTAACGCGAGTGGGCTGGCAGGTTGTCCAATGGGAGGAGACGACGGAGTTGCGCGGTGAAGTTCGGCTTCCTGAGCCGCGGCGGGCGTGGCCGCGTTAGGCTGCGAGCCAGGCCGGGGCAGCGGTGGGCCGTGTTTGGGGTGCTGGGGTTCGGTTGTTGCAGTCGCGATGTTCTTCTCCGAGGCCAGAGCCAGGTCGCGGACGTGGGAAGCCAGTCCCTCGGAACACAGGATGTGGGTGGAAGTAGGTGTCCGGAGGGCGACTGAGCCTCGGATTTCAGCTTGCCCTGGGCCTCTCGCTTTCTCCCCCGCGCCTGGGTCTCTCTCTGCCGGGTTGTACAGATAAGACCTGGGCTACCTGTCCAAAGGGTTGTGGTTAATGACTGATCCTGGAGCTGCAGGGCTCCTGGCTCCCCGTCCAGGACTACGGCTACCTCCAAGTTCCTTCTCCTTTCCCTCTACATAGTCTATTAATGGTAACCACGAATCTGCATCTCTCCTCCCGCCTTTCAAAGCCAGCCCCTTTGCCTCACCTTCCTAACTCCAGGACTGAATTTTGGGTAGAATTTATCTCGGTGGTCTAAGTGAATTAATTTGCGTCATCCTAGCGATTAACTGGTTTTACTTTCTTGAGGGAAATTTCAGCCCATCTTTAAGAAGATTTTAGTCCATCTTTGATTTTTCTTGAGAATTAATACTGGGATAATGAAATTCTATTTTCATACTCTACCGCTGGGCCAAGTTTTAGATTTTCGAGGTCCAAATTATATAAACTAGTAATAAAAATAAGAAGAAACAGTTTCTGTGTAATTAACTAAAGCTATTTAATGTTCTTCAGGTATTTAAGGCATGTGATGAAGATCACAAAGGCTATCTCAGCAGAGAGGACTTTAAAATTGCTGTTGTAATGCTGTTTGGGTACAAGCCCTCCAAGGTAGAGCTTTCTTATATATTTGGGGATGGGGTAGACGATCAGTGGTGAATGGACCTTGAGAAAAGTCCACAGGGCTAGCTTAGGATGTTTATAAATTGCTTTATAAGCAATTTCAGAGATGTGCCCAGTGCTGAATTTTAGCTTCCTCTTAACACCTCAGCCCAGAGATGAAGTAGAAATCTTTTCCACTGGAGCCTACACAAGCCTATCTCACTACCAGGCTGCTAATAACCATTATAAATACGAGACGCTAGAGAGGTGCCAAGAGGGAAGGCTGAAAGGGAAGTGCTGGTAACAGGATAAATTTACATAGGACGTGACATAGTCTCTTTCTCGTTTTACTTTTGTTGCTTTGTTTATAAAATACATCCACAGTCAAAAAATTAAAACAGTGCAGAAAGGTATAAAGTTGAGCATAAAAATCTGCTCCCCGCCTACCAGAGGGTCCAGCTCCTAGGGGATTACCATTAACAGTTTTTTGTGTAATTCTGAAATTTTCTATCCATGACATATATATGCATAGTCTTTTACTGAAACCATAAATGGGTAAATATTGTGCCTACTTTAACTTGCTTTTCTCATTTAACAATATATCAACCTAAAAGCACACACCACTACCACGTTTTAAAATATAGTTGCACATTATTCTTTTTAGCCAGGTTCCTGTGTGGGGTTATATATGTGTTTTTGTTTGTTTGTTTTTGTTTTCTTTCCTACAAGCATTGCTGCAATGATACACACATTTATGTCCTTGTGGCTGTATATCTGTGGAATAAGTTCCTAGAAGTATAATTGCTAGGTTATGAAATATGTACATTTAAAATTTTGTTGGATATTTGCTCTCCAGAAAAGATTGCACCAATTCACCAATAATGAGAGTTGAGCTGAGCTTCCATGAACCTCCTACTTGAGTAGGGCAAGCTTCCTGTTCACCCCGTCTTTATGCTTTTCTGCTTTCCTGTTACATTCATTCTAGAGACAACACCCTTCTTGTTAAGCTGGAATTAGTCATAGTCGAGATACTGTCCAGATTCAAGAAATTGAGCTGCCACCATCAAGCAAAGGGAGCACTCAGGGCTCGGCCTGGAATGCCGTCCCTCACTCTCATTAGACCAGACAGCTTGGCAATTAATTAGGGCCCAGCTGTTCCTGATGAGTGGGCTCTGCCTTTCTGTCAGACTGAAAGCCCAGCAAAGCCGGGGACCCTGTGATGTCATGCTTCTCTGCTCTATTTGTGTCAACAGAACATACTGTGAAGTTGTGATGTACAATAAGTATTAATATATTATCTTGACCCAAGTAGGTTGCATGGACAGCCCAGGTGGGTTCAGAGTGGCTCAGCTATGAGGGGATGCCTAGTTACTGAGAAGCTTATTATGGCGCTCAGAGAAGTAGTCAGGGCCAACTTTTAGAAATTGCAGCTCTCCTGTTTACCTGTAATCATTTCAGTTGGAATTAAAAAGCAGGTCAGCTAAAATGAGTCAGCCTGTGAAGCATTGTATTTAACTTGGATTCACCTGGAAAGGTATCTTGTCTCTTTTTGCCTTTCTCACCCTTGAGTCTACTTGGTTTCAATTTTAGAATGAGAAATTTAATGACAAATACAGTGATGTAACATACTGTACATACACTCCATGAAATTTAACAGATTTTACTTTTCATACTGGGATAAGGTTTTCCATTTTATTTTTTAAGCAAATGAACTATTTACTAACCACAGATCACTAAATGGTAAAGTATTCACTAATAGCGTGTCACCTATAAACTTAGTCATTGTACAATGAACTTTTATTATGCAAGTAACTCAATATATAATTTCTGTGAAATTCAACAGATTTTTTAGACTAGGTTGAGGTTTGGGGTTTCATTTTTGAACATTGCTTTTGAGCAAATGAAATATTTACTGACTACAGGTCATGAAGCAATAAAATACTTATATAATAAATCACTTATACGTTCATGCAGTTGTTTACATAATATATTTATTTTTTGAGATGCAGTCTTGCTCTGTCACCGAGGCTAGAGTGCAGTGGCGTGATTTAGGCTCACGGCAACCTCCGCTTTCCAGGTTCAAGCAATTTTTCTGCCTCAGCCTCCAGAGTAGCTGGGACTACAGGTGCACACCACCATACCTAGTTCTTTTTTTTTCTTTTTTTTGTATTTTTAGTAGAGACGGGGTTTCACCATGTTGGCCAGGCTGGTCTCCAACTCCTGACCTCAAGTGATCTGCCCACCTCAGCCTCCCAAAGTGCTGGGATTACAGGCGTGAGCCACTGCGCCCACCCACACATAGTGAAATTTATTGTTTCTATTTAATAAAAGGAGTACTTGCTAGTTGCTAGTGATATAAAGATGAATGAAACACAGTCTCTACTTTGAAGCCGTTCAGAGTTTAATGTAGAAAGACATAAAACTGATAGATACCAAGAAAGAGAAGAGATTAAAAAACAGAAAGTGAAGGGAACAAAGAAGGAAGGCCTAATTCTAGTGGTAACTATAACAGTCTGGGTGGTCATTTAGACTAGAGAAGATAGATTACTCTGGTAAGTATCTGGGAACACTTTGTGGGTGGTGGGACAAGTTAGGCCCTGATGACTGACTGGATGCAGTGGTGGTAAGGGTGACATGACCACCAGGACTGAAGGGATAGCGATGCCACCAATTAAGAGAAAATTTAAGAGTAGGTTCAGAGGAAGTCAGTGAGTTTCGATTGGAACACATTGAGTTTGAGGCAGCTATGAGCATTCCAGGTGCATTCACTCGTTAAATAATGTGCTGTCTATTGAGGTTATGGTGGTGAAAATCTGCTGTTAGATGTTACTGCTTCCCTGAGATGTAGGAATCTGAAATTGGGTGGAGAGGGTAGGGCTGGAGATAGGCTTGGGGATCCTTGATTTGCATGTGGTTGCTCAAAACATGAGGCTGGATGGCATTGCCCAGGAAGAGTATGCAGAATAGGAAGAGCTGTGGTCTGAGGATAACATTAGGGAATACCAGCATTTAAGGGTAGGAAGGGACTTGAAGAAGTTGGAGTGGGAACCATTTGGCAGGGACAAGAGGAACCAAGAAAATGCAGGAAATCCAGACTGGGAAGAGTTCAAGACCAGAAGTGGAGAAATTATGTCAGATGCCACCAAGGCTCTAATACTATAATGTTTATAAAGCCCTTTTAACAGTGTGGTAAAGGGCTTATATTTTAACATTTAGTGAAAGCAGGTCCTCATGTTTTCTATACAGTAAAATCTCAAATGTTTAAAGATGCATAGGGGAAAAAAGCTGATTAGTCTAAAATGATAACAGTGATTTTCACTGGATGACTGATTTTTTAATTTTCCTCATAATTTTTTGTGCTTTCTACATCAATCTTGTGGTACTTTTATAACCAGGAAAAAAAATTTAAAAATAGAGCCATAGTGCCCATTATAACAATTGTTTGTATTTGTCTGAAGCAGAAAGGCTGCCTGTTAGATTATATATGGGACAGCCAAATTGATTTTCTGTGCTTAAACTGTTTTGGTCAGTGGAATAAAGTTTTGGGGGCTATTAGAGGCTAGCAGATTAGTGTCTGCTATTTTATAGATGTTGATGGAAAAGTAAAATGACTGTTATAGCTATTGTGTGTCATTGCTTGTCTGCTTGGTTCAACAAACTTGGTTTCTCATAAAATAGATGCTTATTCCCACCTGAAGAATTAAGAACTTGCACTGTGAAAACATTTGATAAAATTACATGTTCTATTATTTTTTCCTCTTTTCTAGATAGAAGTGGATTCTGTGATGTCTTCAGTAAATCCAAATACTTCTGGTAATGTGAAAGTTAATATTTTTAGTACCTTATTTAGACACTGAGATGGCTTAACTGTGTCCCTACATCAATCTCATCTCAAATTCCCATGTGGTGTGGCAGGGACCTGGTGGAAGGTAATTGAATCGTGGGGGCGGGTTTTTCCCATGCTGTTCTCATGATACCAGATAAGTCTCATGAGATCTGATGGCTTTCTAAGGGGGGATTTCCCTGCACAAGCTCTCTCTTTGCCTGCTGCCATCCATGTAAGATGTGACTTGCTCATCTTTGCCTTCTGCCATGATTGTGAGGTTTCCCCAGCCACGTGGAACTGTAAGTCCATTAAACTTTTTTCTTTTGTAAATTGCCCAGCCTTGGGTATGTCTTTATCAGTAGCGTGAAAACGGACTAATAACACTCACAAAGTGAAAATTAAAAACGGAAACTAGGCTGGGTGCGGTGGCTCACGCCTGTAATCCCAGCACTTTGGGAGGCCAAGGCGGGTGGATCACCTGAGGTCAGGAGTTCGAGACCAGCCTGGCAAAGATGATGAAACCCCGTCTTTACTAAAAATACCAAAAATTAACTGGACGTGGTGGTGGGTGCCTATAATCCCAGCTGCTCGGGAGGCTGAAGCAGGAGAATCGCTTGAACCAAGGAGATAGAGATTGCAAAGAGCCAAGATCGCAGCATTTGCACTCCACCTGGGCGCCATTGCACTCCAGCCTGGGTGACAAGAGTGAAACTCTGTCTCTAAATAAATAAATAAATAAAAACTATATAGCATTATATTTAAGCACATCTTTGTTTTGTTTCTCGTTGTCCAAAAGGTTTTGGTTGTTTTTATTTTATTTTTTAATTTTTAATTTTTGTAGGTGTATGTATAGAGAGGTGGTACATGAGAAGTTTTGATGTAGGCATGTTATGTGTAATAATCACATCCTGGGAAATGGGATAACTATCCCCTTGAGCATCAACCCTTTGTGTTACAAACAGTCCAATTATACTCTTAGTTATTTTTAAATGTTTATTATTTTGACTATAGTCACCCTATTGTGCTATCAAATACTAGGTATTACTAGTCACATCATGGAGAATGGGGTATCCTTGCTATCAAGCATTTATCTTTCGTGTTACCAAAAATCCAATTATACTCTTTTGGTTATTTCTTAATGTACAATTAAGTTGTTATTGACTATAGTTACCATGCTGTACTATCAAATACTAGGTCTCATTCCTTTTTTTTTTTTTTTTTTTTTTTTTAATCCATTAGCCATCCACACCTCTCCCCAACTCCCCCACTACCCTTCCCAGCCTCTGGTAACCATCCTTCCACTTTCTTTGTCCATGAGTTCAATTGTCTTGATTTGTAGATCCCAAAAGTGAGAACATGCAGTGTTTGACTTTCTGTGCCTTATTTGACCTAACATAATGACCTCCCATTTTCATCTGTGTTGTTGCAAATGACAGGATCTCATTCTTTTTTATTGCTGAGTAGTACTCCACTGTGTGTACCACATTTTCTTTATCCATTCATCTGTTGGTGGACACTGAGGTTTCTTCCAAATCTTGCCTATTGTGGACAATGCTGCAACAAACAGTATATGGGAGTGCAGATATCTTCCATATGCTGATTTCCTTTCTTTTGGGTATATACCCAGCAGTGGGATTGCTGGATCATATAGTAGCTCTATTTTTAGTTTTTTGAGGAACCTCCAAATGGTTCTCCATAGTGATTGTACTAATTTACATGCCTACCAGCAGTTTATAAGAGCTCTCTTTTCTCCACATCCTTGCCAGCCTTTGCTATTGCCTGTCTTTTAGATAAAAGCCATTTTAACTGTGGTGAGATATTATTGTAGTTTTGATACTGAGCACCTTTTACATATGCCTGTTTGCCATTTGTATCTTCTTTTGAGATTCTTTTAATTTTGATTATTTATAAATATGTTTATTACAGGGAAATTTTAAACTGTTGAAGTGCATAAAGAAAAAATATCACTCATAATTTTAACATTCAAAAAATGATACTAGGTTTTCTGACTTTTGCATCTGGATGAATGGACATGGCACCTACTGAAAAGAGAAGATGGCAGGCGGGTGGGGCCATGGGGTGGGGGCAGGGGGCGGGCAATGCTTGGGGGTAAGGGAGACTAAGAGCTCAATTTTGAATATGTTTGAGAAGTGTTAGTTTTCTATGTCCAAGCAGTCGGACTGGATGAATTTCAGAAGTAAGTTCTGGGCTGAAGAAATGTGGGAGTCATCAACCTGTAGACAGATTTTAAAATAATGAGAATGGATGAGACCACTTAGAGAGATAGAGTGGACTGAGAATGTTAAGAACTCTAGCCAGTAGAAGTCAGGTGGAAGATGAAGAAATGGCAAAGGAGACTTAGGAGTGATGGAGGGGCAAGAGGAAAATCGAGTGTTTGATCAAAAACCAAGAGAAGTAGATATTTTAATGAGGAAGGTGTGCTCAGCACTATCAAATGCTCCAGAAAGGTGAGGTGGCATAACTGATGAGTATCCTTTGCAGTTGGCCACCTGGAGGTGTTTGGTGACTTTAGCAAGAGGCATTTCAAAGTGTGGTGAGGGCAGACTGGGTTGAAGATAAGTGGAAAGTGATGGTAAAGTGTGACAATGTGAGTAGATGAGGCTTTCGTTAAGTCCAGAGTGGCAGTGGATCAAGAGATGTTTTGTTTGCTTGTGATTGTTAATATTTAAATGGAAGAATGTGTTCCCAAGCTTAGCCGAATGATCTAGTGAAGAGGAGGAAAGAAGATGAGAGAGAGGGAGGGAAGAGACCTGTTGTGTAAGGGGAGAGGATCCAGAGCATGTTGAATTGGCTTTTTAAATATTACCTTTTTTTGAATAATTTAAAACTTCCAGAAAGTTCAAAATAAATTAGTACAGAGAATAGCTTACTCTCTGTATAAGGTACACCTTTTACCCAGATTGACATTGTTAACATTTTACCCCATCTTCCTTCTCCTTTGCACTTTCTACCACTATCCCTTTCTCTTCTGTACTGAACATAACCACAGTATGCTTATCATGTTCATAAATATAGGTTGATACTGTGTTTTATCTGATTTATCATCTATATTTTGTCGGTTGATCTAATAACATCCTTAATAGTATCTTTCCTTTTTTAGTATTTTAAAAAATCATAAGTGTATCTAGGGAAAAAAAAGACACATTATGTGAATAGGAACAAAGCTAAAAATGACAGCAGTTGGCTGCTGGTGGTGACTCACACCTGTAATCCCAGCACCTTGGGAGGCCAAAGCAGGAGGATTGTTTGATGCCAGGAGTTCAAGACCAGTCTGGTCAACATAGTATGAGACTATCTCAACAAAAAAGCAAAAAAAAAAAAAAACAAAACAAACCATAGCCAGGCATGATGGCACGTGCCTATAATCTTAGCTACCTGGGAGGCTGAGGTAGGAGGATCTCTTGAGCCCAGGAGTTTGAGGTTGCGCTTAGCCATTATCACACCACAGCACCCCAGCCTGGGCGACAGAGTAAGACCTCATCTCTTAAAAAAGTTAATTAATTAATTCAAAAGAAGAAGAAAATGGGAACAAGAATAGATGGAAATAGACAAATAGAAAACAAACAATATGGTAGATTTAAATCCAGTCATTAATGTTTTAGTTAGATGTAAATGATCTCAACAGCCCCATTGAAAGGGAGATACTGTTAAATTAGATAAACGAGTACAAACTAACTCTGTGTTGCCTAGAAGCCCACTTGAAATATAAGGGCAAAAAAGATTAGAAATATATACTGTACTGAACACTAACCAAAAGAATGCCAAAGTGAGCATGTTAATATCAGATGCAGTAGACTTCAGAAGAAGGAATATTACCAGGGATAAGGACAGCCAGTTCATTAAGGGAATTAAATATTTATGCCCCTGGCTGGGTGTCATGACTCAAGCCTATAATCCCAGCACTTTGAGAGGCCAACGCAGCCAGATCACTTGAGGCCAGGAGTTTGAGACCAACCCATGATGAAACCCCGTCTTTATGAAAAAATACAAAAAAATTAGCTGAACATAATCCCAGCTACTCGGGAGGCTGAGGCACGAGAATTATTTGCTCCCGGGAGGTGGAGGTTGCAGTGAGTCCAGATTGCACCATGACCCTCCAGCCTGGGTGACAGAGCAAGACTCTGTCTCAAAAAAAAAAAAAAAAAAAAAAAAAATCCCCTAATAATGGAAATTCAAAATACGTGAAGCAAAAAACTAATAAAACTGTAAAGAAAAATGGACAAATCCATGATCGTGGTAGGAGGCTGCAACACCCCTATCAATAATTAATGAAGCAAGTAGACATAAAATCAATAAGGATATAGGAGACGTGAACAACACTGTCAACCAGTGTGACCTAATTGTCATCTATAGAATGTTCTACCCAACAACAGCAGAATACACATTCTTTTCAAGTCTACACAGCATATTTAATAAAATTGGTCATACTCTGGGCCATTAAACATGTCAATACATTTAAAGTACAAAGTATGTTCTTTGTGATGGAGTTATATTAGAAACCAATAGCAAAGCTGTCTGGAAAAGTAGCAAATAGTTGTTCCAAATAAAAGTTTAAAAGTTCCAGATAAATAGTACACTTCTAAATAATTCATAGGTCAAAGAAAAAAATCAAAAGGGAAAAATTAGGAAGTATTGTGAATTGAATGTAAAGACCACATTTCAAATTTTGTAGGATGGATTGAAAGCAATACTTGGAAAGTGGTAGCACTAACTTTCTATGTTTGGGAAAGAATAAATGTCTCAAACTGATGACCTCAGCTTCTACCTTTAATTAATTTCCACCTTTAACTACAAAAAAGAGTAAATAAGGCCCAAAATAAGTGGAGGAAAGGAAATAGTAAAGATTGTAATGGAAATTGATGAAATTGGAAAGAGGACAAACAAAAAAAAATTAAAAGCTGATTTTGTTGAGGTAATCAATAAAAATGAGAAACTACTACCCACACTGAGCAGTGGGGGGAAAAAA